CCCAACATGGAATGACCAAGCTATTTCAATAGCTGCTCTTCTAGGTCTCCCTCTAGAACTCTCCAAACCTAGCTTGCAGTCACTGCTTGCAAGCACAGGGGTATACTTTGTACCAACTTACTTTTAGTCCATTTGATTTCTGACTATATTTTCCTTCTGCCTATTATTTCTCCCAACTCAATTTATATTTTCTATTATAGTATGTTATTCTTTGTAAATCACATATATTGTCATGTGTATGAGTCATCCAAATTACATATGTTCTATAAATGATACTTTGAAATACCTACCTTAGTTATCCTGAGTTTAATTCCCTTAGAGTGAACATGAACCAAAAAGTATTATTTATTTGTTAGTATAATGTAGAATCAATCACTTTTGCATAGTGGTTAAATATCTCCCATTTTAAAAGATGTTTATCTACCAAAATACCAGCATGTTTTACACAGTCTACCCTGCCTTGGATCTGTAACACAGAGCAAGAAGCATACTACATTTTTGTCTACAACAGATTTGTACAGAAATAAACTAGTAAACTAGTTTACTGTTTTACTAGAAATAACTAGTAAAAGAAATAGAGTCAGCTGTGGGGATGCAGTTAAAGACAGTGGCCAAAAGAAATAGTCCTCAGCAAGGAGTTTAAAAACTCAAAGATTTAAGGGAAACGTCTTCCTGATTCTGCTGTGACTCCATACAGAACAGAAATGCATACTGAATAAATGAATAACATTTATTTAAATGTTATATATATAAATATGTCCAAGAGGCAGAGGCTCTAGGTAGCCTCATAGTGAGGTATTATTTATTCCTGTGATGTTCAAGAGGTAGAGTGAAAGTCCATCCTTGACATCTATCTTTTGTTTCATAATGTCATTGATCTATCTTCAACTAACACTTCTGATTGCAATTATTATTATTTTCTTTGTGGGTTTTAGTTTTCAAAATTTTGTCTATTTTTATGTGTGTATGTGTTCATGTATGTGTGTATGTGTTCATGTATGTGTGTATGTGTGTGTGCAGGTGCACATGCAAGGTGTGCATGTACATGTGGAGGCCAGTGAGCGCTGCTGGGTGTCTTCCTCAATCATGCTCTACTTGTGTTTTGAGACAGAGTCTCTCAGTGAACCCAGAGCTCGCTGATTTGGCTTAACTGGCTGGATAGCATACCTCCGGTATCCTCCTGTCTCTACCTCCCCGATGCCGAGATACAAGCTTGTACTGCTGAGCTCAGCAACGGGACATTGGGGATTCAACTCAGGTCTTCAGCTCAGGCAAGCACTTCACCAGTCGCTCAGTTATAACCACGAAATCATCATCTGCAGCAAATCTTGCTATCAAGATTCTCCTGTTCAAACCTGGATGGTTAACTTCTTTACAGAATTATACTTTCTACCAACTAACTAAGTTTTGCTTTTTTGCTTCTTCCATCATTCTGTGTGCATTAGCTCTGAGAATGAAAAGCAGTGTTACAGCCATCCTGTCCCACCTTCCATCCTCTTTCTGCCTTTCCTCTGCTGTATTTACAGCTCTTCCTCTGGGTGATCCTCATTTGTTCTTCACAGTTCCGTCGCTGTAGTCAGAAGTTTGCAGTCAGTCTGTTAGGGGAGACAATCTATTCCATGTGTAACTCCAGACACAGTATCCAGAGCCCTCCACAGGGGAAGCAGTGGGTCAGGAAGACTGCCATTCTAGTCTCAGATTACCAATGGGATCCGGAGGTTCGGTCAAACCCAAAACTGCCTTAAATTTTAATGTTTCACTTAATATTCAAGACCAAGTTTATTTAATATTTTAAGCATATTGGGGCACATTCATCCTTATTCCTTTTACCGAATCCTTAATTTTAGGGAAGTTCTTCATTTGATATGCTCTGAGAAAACAACCCACACTGTAATCTGTGTTTAACAGCATCAGAAAATGCCCAGCCAGAAAGGCCACTACAGTTGGCCCATGTGCCAGTCACCCCTGCAGCTTGCCACCCAGATTTTCCTGCTCACTTTTGTTTCTGTCAAGACGAAGTCACAGGAGTGACTTCAATGAGTTGAAAGACAGACTGTCAATCTCCTGTCATCTACTTTTTAAAATACCTGATTAGAAACCCAAATAACCAATATATTGATGTCTCAGTTTTTTTTTTAATCCATGATAGAAAACATTGAAATGTCATTTTATGATGATTTCTCTGGGTTTATGTCTTTTTGATGACAAAGTCATTGAGTATGTATTTTTCTCTTGGAACTACTGTAGATATACAGATTTTCATTTTAGTGCACGGAGTTAAAAAATTTTAAATGTTTATAAAGAGAAATCATCCAAAGACTGGAGAACATGTAATAAAATATAGAGCATTTTCTATCAAGGACATTCTTATGTGAGCTCTCCTACTATAAACAACAGAGCTTTGACAGAGGGTCTTTAATAGAGAGAGATCTTTGTCTTGATTTTTTTAAAAAGGCAAAAATGTTTCTTTTTTATTTTGAATTTCATTAAAAAATGAAACATAATGCTTTTGTCTTTCTGAGCTGCACCATGGTAACAGATGAGAGCAAGCATCTTATATCACAAAAACTGAGTCAAGTGGCAGATGCATTTTTAAAAGAAAGATTAGCATGATATAGAAGTAGTGAATGTATTCATGTTAGAAACATGAGACAAACACTAGTCACAAGGCCTTGAGAAACCAAAATCTCATTTGACGGCCTCCAGGGTCATGTGTCTGAACTGAGCTTTGCAGATCTATAGCATGAAAAAGTTGCATTTAGAGAGTTCAAGCTAGTTTCTGAGGAGGTTCAAGGTAACACTGTCTAACTGATCTGTGGCATGGATTTTACCTGTGACAAAAAGTGTTCCATGGTCAAAAAAGTTGAAGGCCATGATTGAAACTCATGTTGAAGTTAAGACTATTGATAGTGATTTACTTCATCTGGTGTTTTACTTAAAAAAAAAAGACAAAAACTAAAACCAACCTATCAACCAAAGCCCCCTCAAAACAAACTTCAGGACCATCTGTGTTTAGAACCAGCAGGTCTATAGACACAGAGAATGATTATGGAGATCAATGATCTAAAAGGTAGAGAAAAACGACTTGAAAGAAGCGGTTAAAAGATTGGTTCAAGGGAGCACTGGGAAAGAGGGGAAGGCCAGCCTGTCCGTGTGTCCAAGAGGGAAGGCCGGCCTGTCCGTGTGGCCTTCTCACAAACATCTTCATCAGAAAAATAAGAGTGCTGAAGGCCGTGTTGAAATCGGGGACACTCAGAGTCTCATGGTGAAGGCTGTAGCTCTGGAAAATGACTGGCAACGAGGCAGGTCCCATGGGCCAGGACAAATAATACTCCTGGTGAAAAATATAGACGAGTAAAAATGAAACATGGGCAACTGAGAGAGGCAGCTCTCCTTCTTGGTCTTCACATTTTCATCTCAGCGGAGAGCTTTCATGTGGACTTCTGCAAGTTCAAGTCTTCATCTTTCTTAATTTAAGGCTCCTGTCTCCATGTACCACTCCAGGAAACTCTCGGTTCTAACACATGCTAGTTATGGGAGATTTTTAACTGCTATAATGGACTCACTAATAAACCTCTTTCCCATAAAGAGTTGCAGTCACTTTCTGGAAACAACAATAAAATTATGCCTTAAAGAATACATATACACTATGTGTTGAATTCTCTCAAGAGGATATGAGATGTATTGGAGAACCCTTGGATATTTTTCTCAAGCACATCTCTAACACGAGGTTTACATGGTACTTGAAGAATGAGATCAAGATAAATGAAGTCCTCAGTGACTAGGTTTATAATGAGAAGTTTTGAAGGTCAGTTTTCATTGCTGTTTACACGTGTATGTGTATGTATTTAAAAAAATAATAAATGCGGGTCAAGGTCATACTTGTACTCCAAAAATTCTGCTGTACGATTGGAATAAATAATGGCTATAGTAGCTTCTTAAAAATCATTTCACAATCAAGGATAATTTTTGGAAGCAGAGAAAAATGTTAAGCTATATTCTGAGGCCTAGTAACAGTTTCTGCAAATATAAATACATGGAAATAGAGATAATGCATTTGCCTGAGAGCTTTACTTTCTACACTATGCTTAGGAGAAGTGGTTATTCTTTCCATAAAATATGCAGCATCACAGTGTGTGGCAGAGTCTGAAAGGGAAAGCTACCATGCTAATGAGAGGGAGAAAGATTTGATCTCCAGTTAAGCAATGCACTGTAAACAATTAGTTTAACTGAAACATGTTTTCCCTTTTGTAGACACTGAAGAACGAATGGCCAGATGCATCCATTAAAATTAAACTAAACTGGGAGTGACCAGGGATTACAAATTTCAGAGGTCTTTCAGTAGGCCATGGAAGTTTCTCTCTCTCTCTCTCTCTCTCTCTCTCTCTCTCTCTCTCTCT